TCATATTTTTTCACAATTATATTATTTTATATAAAGTAATTATGCAATAAATTTCCTGGCAACTAATGGATAAAGTCCGACAAGCCATGTGTGTGATTTGAATCACAGTGCTGAGAAAAATGTATGGGATTCTATTTAGCACTACAGTGAAATTTAAGTCTTTATTTAGAAAAAATATTTAAAACTTCAAAATGCTAAAAAAAATTATCTCCAATTTTAGTATTTGCAGATTAGGCCATTTTGAAAACAACATTAACCAAATTAGAATAGCATGAAAATGGGAGCAAAAGATTCAACATAAAAATGACCACTCTGTTATTTGTACCAACTTAACAATTAGGCAGTACGGAAATTGAAAATATGATAAAAGATGGGTTGTAAAGTATGGTGAATGGGATATTTAAAAATAAGATTCTCATTTTTAAAATATTGTCATGTCAGGATTTCCTTTGTATTCATACACACATGAAGGTTTTTAATGTAACATTTAAAACAAATACCCTAGTTTTTGGAGCCGGTATTCCCAGGGCTCAAGCACATGAGATTAATCTATGTTTTTGATGAGTCCACAGATATTTTATATTATTTACTATTATAAGGCTCTAGTACTTGCTCTGTAGAGTTTTATAGATAATTTGATTCAATGTCATACAAGAAAATAAGCAGGTAGGGAGCAGTACATCCCTCTCACTGATTGCTTAGATCCTTAGAGTAGTAGTTCTTGATTTTTTGTGTGTGTGCATCTGAATCACCTGCAAAGCATAATGATTTAGAAGTTTAAGTCCCAGTTTTAGAAATTCTAATTCCATTGTTCTGGATGTGGTTATCCAGAATCTGCATTTAAAACCAAAATGTTAACTTTGCTGCAGGCTATACAAGAACCACACCTAGAAATGCTAGTTTAAGAAGCTCTCTATGGTAGAATTCTGCAAATGTTCATTGCAGCACTGTTCACAATAGCAAAAACATGGAATCAAACTAAATGCCTATCAATGACAGACTGGATAAAGAACATGTGATATATGTACAACATGAAATATTATGCAGCCATAAAAAAGAACAAGACCATGTCTTTTGTGGGAACATAGGTGGGGCTGTAGGCTATCATCCTTAGTAAACTAATATAGGAACAGAAAACCAAATACTACATGTTCTCACTTATAAGTGAGAGCTAAATGGTAAGAACTTATGAACACATAGAAGGAAATAACAGACACAGGTTTATTTGAGGGTGGAGGGTGAGAGGAGAGAGAGGATAAGAAAAGATAACTATTGGGTACTGAGCTTAATACCTGGGTGATGTAACAGTATGTTCAATAAACCCCTCTGACATGTGTTTATCTATGTACCTTCAAACCTAAAATAAATTTTTAAAAAAGAAGCTCTCTAGAATCTGAAGGAAGTAAAGCTGGAGACTGCATGCTAAGGAAAAGGACAGCTGAAAAAATGGGCTAGAGGCACCCAAAACAAAAACTGAAAGAGCCTACTGCAAGGATAATAGGCAACGAGTGAAAGCATATGTTAGATTCTGGGCAACACCCCAGGACAGGAGTGAGCTTTATGGAGGTACTGAAGTACCAGCAACATCATGGTATTCGTCATCATCATCAACAGCATTGGTTTTTTTTTTGTTTTTTTTTGTTTTGTGTTGTTTTGTTTTGTTTTGAGACGGAGTCTCGCTCTGTCGCCCAGGCTGGAGTGCAGTGGCCGGATCTCAGCTCACAGCAAGCTCCGCCTCCCCGGTTCACGCCATTCTTCCGCCTCAGCCTCCCGAGTAACTGGGACTACAGGCGCCCACCACCTCGCCCGGCTAGTTTTTTGTATTTTTTAGTAGAGACGGGGTTTCACCATGTTAGCCAGGATGGTCTCGATCTTCTGACCTCGTGATCCACCCGTCTCGGCCTCCCAAAGTGCTGGGATTACAGGCTTGAGCCACCGCGCCCGGCCAACAGCATTGTTATCAACATCATCATCAACCTAGTGGGTGAGAAAACATGATCTCCAGACACTGGACTAGAGGTTTACATAGATCATCTAATTTAATCCTTACGATAAATTTAGGAGGACTTAAAATGTTAGTTTTATATATATTTTTCATATGACAAAGCTGAACCTCAGAGAAATTAAGTGGTTTACCCCCAAAGTGTATTTAAATAGCAAGAATGAAAGCAGATTTGAATCAAGCAATGCAACTCTGCAGAACCCACCTTCTAAACTGCTATTCTTTAGTGATATCTTGTAGCACCTTTGAGCTCAAGGTGGCTTCACCATTGTGTAATGAGAAGGAATACAGTATTTACATAACGATTAGTTGAATTGAATTTGCAGAAACCATGGAGGGTGATCATGGCAGGATGTAAAAAACCAAAAGTATCTTAGAGTCTAAAGAAAGGTGCTGTGAGGTTAGGGAAAAGGGAGAGGTCAGCCATTCCTACAAGTAATATCTTTGATGTGGTGACAACTGTATAGGGTTGAATAATGGAATAGAAATAAATGGGAACAGTGTGAATGGATGGAACCTCTGATAGCCACAAGGCTGAATGCCCCAAGGAGAAGTGTCAGCCATCTGGTGCTTGAGATCAAATTATCTAATATGTATGTAATTGTCCAAAAAGTTCCCTTGGCGACTCAGGCTTAAGGAGGAGACCATGCTTTCTTTATCCCCCTTGTAAGTACAAGCTTTGTTGTTGATTTTTTCTGTCAAAACAATGTGGCTGAGAATAAAATACAATAATATCTTGAATCAGACAAACAGGTTTGAAACCCTGTCCTAAGCCAACAGAGAGCCTTTGGCAGGCTCCTTCCTGTCTCTGAACTTTAAACTTTTGCATATATATAAAATAAAGGGGTAAACATCTACCTAAAAGTAGTATTATTAGAATTAAATGAGATAGTAGATAAACAGTACTTGGCACTTCTCCATCCCTTAAGTTAAATTTAATTTCATTTGCACTGCCATGTCAGGAAGGTACATGCAGTAGTATCTAACATAATTTTAGTTTTAACCCTTGTGAGATGCTCATGTTTGTATCTTAAGAGTAAAAAGATAAATAAGAAAAAAAAAAAAGAGGAACAATGGGCATTTGGTGCTAAGAGTTCAGACTTAAATATAAATTCTTAACTATGAATCCTTAAATTAGTCTTTAAAATCATGCCCCCCCCCCAAAAAAAAAAACCCAAAAACTCCATTCCAGTGGAAAGTGCTTTCGATTTCCAGATCTGCTTGGCACTCAACTATTCTCTGAACTGTCTTGTGACCTTAAGCAAGTATAACCTAAATTTAACTTCTGTTTGCTCATCTAGAAACCAAGGGATATAGTGCTCAGATTGTCAAATGTATTCAGTATAGGACAATACACAATTTTTAGTTATGGTCTCTAGTGGCTTTTTAGTGACATCAAAGGCCATAAAGCTACTAAAATTGTGTAGAAATATCATAATATAATCAAGCAGTTTTTTTCAAGCATAACCCATTATAAAGAAATATATGAATAAACAATCTTACATCAAAAATCAAAGAAGAAAAATCACGAGATAATCTCAATAACTGGTCAGCAGGTAAAATCTGTTCTAAGGGGTCCTAAGTAAACTAGTTCTCTCTCCTCCTTCTGCCATTGAATTTAGTAGAATTTTTTCTTTTGTTTTGATATGTGTGTGTGTGAATAAATGTGTGCTTGTATTTGTTTTGAGGGAGTTGGTAAATTAACCCATTGGCATATTTACGTATTTCTATTTTGTTTACAAATGTAAATAGGTTGCCTAAGATCCATACCCTGGTGTCTCTCTTGTAATGGAGCTTAAATACTCTCTACTAAGCTACAAGAAAAGCATCCTATGGTTTGACTGTGATTGGAACTTTGCAAGCTAGTAGACATGCCTTTTACAAGCAATAAAATGAAGCTATCAGCCATTGCAAACGAACCAAAATAGAGGTCACATGACTAAAGCACCCCTGCACCAGGCAGTCTCTGATGTATTTTATTCCAGTTTCAATCTATTAATCAGAGGAGTTGGGACAGCAATAATTTAAACACTGCAATAATCAATTCCATAACACATTAATAGAAGCTACAGTCAAACTTTGCCACACCACTGACTGCATCAGAACCTTGACAGGAGCCCTAGGGCTATGCCTAATTTGCATTACATTTACATAAAATTATAAATCAAGAATACGTGAACACAGCCCTAATGTTTGTTAGTGCTTAGATCTTTCCTGATAGATACATTGAAACCGCTGGTGGCTGGACTTCACTTGCAATAAAATTGTGCAGCTGATCAGTTTTGTTCTCATTCTGCAATTACGGGAAAAGAAACCCAACACAGCAATAGTTTGGGGGTATGTGAATGCCATTTAAGGTTCTTGTCCTGTAAAACTATCACTCAGATGTGCCCTTGGAACCCCCAATCTAGAAGCAAATTGTCCCCAATTACTTTGCAGATCCTGGTCACTGGATTTGATCACTAGTAACTTGTCATTAAGTAGAGATACAAACCACATAGAAACCCGAACAGCTGAAAACATAAGTCTGCTGGAAAATTTTATTTTTCCAGAAGAACTTTGCTATCACAACAAAGATAATTAGTGATAATCTTCAGGGTGAGGACAGATAAACCCAAACTTTCTTAAACTCAACAGAGCATCTGGTACCTAATAGGGTGGAAAAGTGTACTTCATATGGCTCTAAGCATTCTGTGTGTTCTGGTATCCCTGATTTACATTGTTCCAACAGCTGTGGCTTTTGCTGTGGGTTTTCACACTCAGGGCTAGGTGAAAACATTCTCACTAATGTTACTGGCCTCAGTAACGGAGTACACTCTCTATATTGTTTTTGGTCCTCTCATTTTAAGTCTCTTTTTAAACAGAAAATCAACACTTAAGTCCAATAGTATCTTTGGGAATATTTCTTTTCAGAAAGGGTTCTGCAAATATTTTGTACATTATTTTTCTGCAACTCCCACCTCTTTTTTACCACCCTTCTATCCCACACTTTCCTTACCTTGTACGATCAAGTAAACTTGGGAGGTCTTGGGCTCATGCTGTGTCTGAACTGAGCAAGTGTAGGAACCCTCATCATAGACATCCACCTTCTGGATTCGGAGGCTGTATTCCAGAGAATGGCGTTTCTCCAGCTCAACCCGTGGGTCCAGAGACCACTTGTCATGTCCAGCAAAAATGATGCCAGAACGGTTCAACCAGGCCACCTTTGAGTTCTTGTCTTCTACAACGCACCTGACAGAGCAGAGTAACAATATTAGTGCCTTAACAACAACTGTTTCTGTGTTTCTTTTCTAGGTGATCAGACTCAACAAGTCCAAACAAGAAAAATAATTATATGCCGAATGAATTACTGCCATGCCATTCTTGGAGTCCTTAAATTTTCACTATTTCATTTAAGATGTAATTACCATCCAGTGGATGGATGTCATCATATTAGACTCAGTTCAGCAAAAAACAATCAGCGTATGAGTAATGAAGGCAAAGTTAAATTAGTACTGACTTCCCGTTATCTTCTTGTTTGGGAAAAGGCCACTCACTCAGAACTCCGTCTTTTTAAGTAATTTTGAGAATTAAACAATTGATATCATAGCACTTTTACTCCATCTTGAACTGTGTTTACTTTTTTTTTTTTTTTTTGAGACGGAGTCTCGCTCTGTCGCCCAGGCTGGAGTGCAGTGGCGCGATCTCGGCTCACTGCAAGCTCCGCCTCCCGGGTTCACTCCATTCTCCTGCCTCAGCCTCCGGAGTAGCTGGGACTACAGGCGCCCGCCACCACGCCCGCCTAGTTTTTTTGTATTTTTAGTAGAGACGGAGTTTCACCGTGTTAGCCAGGATGGTCTCGCTCTCCTGACCTCGTGATCTGCCCGTCTCGGCCTCCCAAAGTGCTGGGATTACAGGCGTGAGCCACCGCGCCCGGCCCTGTGTTTACTCTTTTGTAAGTACTTCCTATAGTATTGTGTAATGATAGATTAAAGTTATACTCCACCATTATAGGAATTAGACTAGACTTCTGAGTTTACTTCTAATCTTCACAAGTTTGGAATGCCCACTTCCAGGAGTAAAAATTGTGTGAGCAGATCCAAGCATAAGGGGATAGGTGTTATGACAAGGAAATAAAAGCAAACATCATCTGGCGTAAGTTTGGTTCCAGCTGCTGAAGGCAGAAGTTTGTTTGGTGGCAAGTTAGGTTGCTAATAGCATTTCTGGTCATACTGAATGCAGGCAATCTTTAACAAAGATGAAGAAGACAATTTTGTCGTTCATAGACCAATGTATCAAAAAGGGTAAAGGAATAACGCTTATTTGAATTACTGCTTTAAAAAATGTAAAAGGGTCTCTTTCTGAAATTTGAAAGAAAGGGGCAAAGAACATGAATTAGTGAAGGAGGGATAAATACTTTTTGGGGAGTATGGTTTTCTCCTTCAGTTCCAGCAAGAGTCTTGCAATGGAAGAATCTAGCAGAAAACAAAAACAAAAACAAAACCTTCTGTCTGCATCCCTGTGGCAAGATTTATGTCTACCCCATAGGGAGACGTCCCAAACCCTGTTCACAGCTGCAAAGCCAGCTGCTCCACACTCGGGGGCAGGAGGGAATGAACAGAAAGAGCCACGAGCACCACAGCAGGACAATGAAGACACCCTGTTCCCCTGTATTTTCTAAACCAAATAAAATCCAGTTTTTCTCTCAGGTCAAAACAACTAAACATAGACAGAAAATTGATGCATAACCCCTAGGCTGTCCACATGGGAATATAAAGGCCAACTGTGTCTCTTATAAGAAAGAGAAAAGCTAAGTCTTTTTACATACTCCATCTATGGTGTAATACAAAGACCTCCTTATCCTATTAATTTTAAATGAATTGTATATGTTATTTAGAGGGAGAATTTTTTTTTTTTTTGAGACAGGTCTTGTTGGGTCACCAAGACTAGAGAGCAGTGGCCTGGTCATAGCTCACTGCAGCCTCAAACTACTGGGCTCAAGCAATCCTCCTGACTCAGCCTCCTAGGTAGCTAGGATTATAGGTGCATGCCAGCAGGACTAGCTAATAAAAAAAAAAAATTTAGAGATGGGGTATTGCTATGTTGTTCAGGCTAGTCTCAAGTGATCTACCCAACTTGGCCTCCCTAAGCACTGGGATTATGGTCATAAGTCACCATGCCTGACCCTAGAGTAAGAATTTGACTTAATAAGTTAGGTGCCAAGATACACAGGTCTTACTTTTCTTCTTTACCTATTTGTTTTCATAAACACAACTAGATTTAGGTATCATTTAATATCTCCATTTCCCAGTATGCGCTTCTCTGTCATGCATATATTATTGAGTATAGTTTATGTGTTTAATAATTTAGAGGCCTTTTATCATGAGCACCAACTTAACTTCATGAATGCTTGCTGCCTCATTCCAGACTCAGTTTTACTTTTGCTGTTCTCCTCTCTTGAGGCATCATTTCTCTGTTCTTGGTGATGTTTGCAGCATCTCTGAATGTATAATCATTGATGAATTAATTAATAGGATGTTTGCTATCTTACTCTAGACCATTATGAAATTGTTGAATGTAGATTTACCATGTTTTTTCTATTCTACTAAGAAGGATAGAAATTTACCTATGTAAATGTGTTTTAAATCTTCTATCATTTTTCCTTGTGCATGTTTCTCATCTGCACAGCTTAACACAAGAATGGCCAGATTTGCTACATTATAGATGTATTCCGAATGCCTCTTAGCCCCAAATATGGCTCCAATCTGTTCACTTTGAAAGAAAAAGTACTATATAATATAGCCTACATAAATATGGCCTGTGAATCCAATAAAAATAGCAAATTTTTACCTTGCTCATTTGGATACCACCAATAACTAATCTGGGATAAAAAAGGCATTTGATAAATGTCTGTCCTGTGAACTAACTGGGTTACACATGCAGACACAGGACATTTGGTAACCTATATTCCACGTCCCCATCCCTAGTCCTATAGCATCCACAAATAAATTGGACAGATTTCTTTAACAACATAAGGTAAAATTTATAAGTCGGGTCTTTATAGCCCTTTGACATTTTAGCAATTTTCATTCATGGAAAAGTTAAAATCATACAGACTATTATTCTAAATTATTATTTGAGGGTGTTCAGCTCTATCTTACCTAGAGAAGTAATCGACTATTCCAGCAAAATTGCCAGATGCATAAAAGTGCATCTAATTAAACAATGTATTATGTGGAAATTTTGTTATGACAATTTACATAGCACCTCATTTTTGCTTTGGGTTTTATCCATATTTATTTTTAAAATTCATCTTTTACTGACAAACGAGTGAATAGTATATTAGAATACACATATACTTTTTACTAACTCAGATGGTTAGCCAAACTCCAAGCACCAGAACACAATACAGTATAGTGTTTTTAAAAACGAAACCACTTCTCCAGATCTTTCAGGTTCCTTTTTATATACTCAATAGTTGCAAAATAAATGTATTAGCTCTGTAAACTAGAAAATAATCCTTCTATAATGTGACTAAAACTTTCTTAATAAAAAATGAGTAAAGGAATAATGCAATTCCAGAACTAAATATTTTCTTAATTTCAAAATCTTAATTTAAGGTGGCAACTATTTTTTATCATAAAAAGTACACATAAAAAAAGATGGTAGGACCAGGCATGGTGGCGCATGCCTGTAATCCCAGCTCTTTGGGAGGCTGGAGGCAGGACGACCACTTGAACTCAGGAGTTCGAGGCTGCAGTGAGCTATGATCACATCACTGCACTCCAGCCTGGCCAGAGTGAGACCTTATAAAAAAGGAAAGAAAAGAAAAGAAAAGAGAAAATATAGTAAACCAAAATCAGTAGTTCAATTTGTAGGGTCTATGTTTATTAAGAGATAATAACTAGTCATACAGTGTAATGACAGACCACCCGGCTATCTGGAAATAAGAAATGCTGATATAAATACAGACCCAGGTTCCCAGCATTCACTGACTCACCAATAAGCATCATGGGCTTGCATCTCAGAGGTATGCTGGCTCAACTGTGCATCAGGCAGGCTTGTGGAGTAAGTGAGAATTCTTGGGCCATGCTATTATAATATGATAATAATGAATTATCACCTACCTAGAATGTTGCTGCAGTTTAGTTCTAAACTTTGTACTTAATGATTTTATCTCCAAAATCAGCCTGGGCTAAAGCAGGAAGATGAAGAGATGTATTTCAAAAACTTGTTAGTGTTATGTGTTGTTTTAATAGAATGTTGTCTTGAGGAACACATTATGTTGCAAATAATTCCCAGGTTTAGAAAGAACTGGACCCTAATGACAGTGGGTGTTAGTGCCACGAGGAGAAGATCACTTCCACTTTGGGTGGGTTTTATGGAAGGCAGCTGAGGACACGGACGTATGCTACAAAATGCCACCTCTCCAGAAAATCTTCTCTCGTCAGTGTAACCTTCTTAAAACTTCCTTTTTATGACCTTATCATACTCCACATCGCATTAGAGTTATTTGCACTCATCTTTTCTCATAAGCTTATTAAGACAGTGACCTTCTTGTAATTCACCTCTGGAGCCCTCACTGAGCCTAACAGCATAAATACCACGTGCATAGTAGATACTTGCTGAAATGTGGAATAAACAAGATGAATTTAACAAATTGCATTAGGTCAATTATAAAATATTCATTAATTATCTAATAGGCACAGTAAAGATGGATTACTATTTTAATATTTCTTAAGAAATAATTAAAGTTATCAGATATAAAGGGAAATTTTAAAAGACTTATTGAGTGTGGTATTAAAATGAAAGTAAAGGAGAGAAAAAATGTGTTCCCATGTCCACTACAAAGAAAGATCATCTCTCGGAACTAGATGATCTATATTGCATGTGAAAACCTGAGAAAAAGTATCGTATCCTAACTAAGTGCTTAGTAGGTTGTTCGCGTTAATCATGAACCCTCGAATATCAGATGGGTTACCTATCTGAACTGTAAACCTATGATTTTTAAAAAATCATCTCTAAAAAAAAGTTAGGAAAGGTAAGCACACAATTTTTTATCTTCTTTGTTTAGTATATTTCATTCCATAAAACTGTCACAAAAAATCAATGCACCCATACAAATCTTAAGCATTGAATTTCTTCAAACACTTTATACCAAGTCTGTTATGCAGACTTATACAAACAGGTACATTGACAATTCTAGTAACATTGCACAAGAGTGGGGTTTATACTGCTTAAAAATGAATATA